GGAGCGGAGCTTTGCTGGGTAGCTATGATAGGGGGCACGTTGCGCTGACTCAGTCGGTGCCTGGCCTGGAGGGTGTCACAGCAGTACCGAAAATGAGAGCGGTGCCACAAGCTGCCAGGCCAGAAGGCTTGCAATGTGCCTGAAACTGTGAGGGGCTCTGAGGCTGGAGTGGCTTCTGCTCCACTTGGCTGAGCTGAGCTGTGCTGACTTTTCAGACAGGACTGGTCGTAATTATCATAATAAAAGCGCGTCAACATGGTTACCTGTATCCTAGGTAACAAAGGCGGACCAATAGCCTGGGGCAACGAGCGGGGCAAACAATGCTGGCTACTAGCCCAAGAGATTTTCCATCTGAATAAGGAGCTGAAGAGATAGCTTAGGGGTTAAGAATGATGCCTGCTCTTCCAAGGGTTGTGAGTTCAATTCCCCAGCGACCACATGGCAGCTCACAACTATTTGGTTTTAAATCTAATGTTTCAGGATCCACAGGGAGGTAGATGCGAAAAGCCCTTGAATTTTTAAGGTGATAGGGTCATTGGCTAAATCTGTGACTGTGGCACAGATATTGAGAGTCTGCTAATTATCCCATCTGCCCCATGAGCTGTAAGAAGCATTAAAGCTTTTCTGCAGAAGGATCCTAGTGTCCCGCGTGGTTCTTGCGGGCGAGACAGTGTGGACATCCTCTCAATGTGGCTCGAGGATGTCCTCAAATTGCGAGTCTCACATCCTTGCAGTATGATCCTGTATGTGTGTACAGAATGGCAACACCCCAGGAGATGGATAGGGCTCAGACAGCGTTTCCTTTCTTTTAATACTGAAGGTAAGTGGTATGAGTCAGTTGTTCATGCTTCCTGACATAGACAGGTGCTATGTAATGAACCAGGGCATGTGGAGAAGTGAGATTGTGCCCCAAATTCAAAAGTCAAAAGACCAAAGATAGTCTGTTCTTTGATGTCCCCACTGAATATTCCCCAAAGCAGCCTGGGCACAATTATCCCGGGAGACTCTAGACTTGTATTCTTTGTGTGTGTGTTCTTCTGCAGGGCAGCAGTTGACCTGGCACTCTTCATCACGGTTTTCCAATGCCTTTCACTAGAGCTGGCCTATTGCCTCATCCTTCCAACAAGGTGAAGGATTTTCTCTCTGTGTGTGTTTGTTTGCTTTTAATTACACCGTGTGTACAGCCTTTGAAATGCTAAGCATGTAAATGAGCACACTGGTTGGATTTCAGAACTCTGTGAACAGCCCTCTCCTTACAGCAGCGCAAGGTGAGAAAACTCATGTCCTGGAAGATCTTGCTACAGGAGTAAGAGAACTCATTTAATTGAGAGAGAATTGACTGAGTTTACAATTAGTAAGCCACATCCATCTTTGCCCATTGGTTCCCAGGCCTCTGCTTCCCTTCCATGCTGCAGTTCATTAGACGGGGCAACAGAGATCTTTGAAGTACACGGTGCCCAGAGTGGGAAGCTTGAAGATACTTTTCTGTGAGTCTCATTCTGGATTAGCGGTCTATCAGTTGGCCTCAGACTTAATCTGTCTCAGCTCCAGCAGCTGTAGCTCTGTAAGAGAAACGGAATGGACAGCACTTCCCATTGCCCATTACTTCACTTATTGCTTCTATAATCTGCCCTGTGTTGTTTATTGGAGCGTCAGGTGTCTCAGAGCCCATAAGCCTTGCATCGTATATTAATCTTCCTCCTCTTTTTAAATTCGAAATTTTGTATTAAACTATCTTACTACCCGTGGCCCCTCCTCCCTGCAAGCCCCTTTCCTCCAGTTAGTGGTCCTCCTCCTCCACATCTCCTCATTGCACTAATCCTGATACCTTATAGCCTCCCTCCAGTCTCTTTCCTCTTCCATGCCCCATCATCCTTTTGATGACCCCGATCTTCCTCATCACTGTTTCTCTCGTGCTCTTGCAGGTTTGTGGGCTCTCACAAAAGATTGGGACGAGGGTTTGGTTCTCAGCTCCCATGTCAGACACCTTACAATCACCTGCAACTCCAGATTTAGGGGATCTGATGTCCTCTTAGGGCCTCCTCAAGTGTACACACACACGTGCCCCCCCACGCATGCAAACACACACACACACACACACACACACACACACACACACACACGAACAAAAATGAAAAACAAATTGCTCTACATCTGTGCTGAGGTCGCAATTTCTCACTTTGCATCATCTCCACGCACCTTGGGAGCTACCCTGTGCTCTGTGGGATGTTTATCAGCATGCTTAATCTGTACACACTGGGTGCCAGCAGCAGCCTCCTGCATTTTCTGACAGCTAAACATATTTGTAGACATTTCCAAATGTTCCGGGGGGACAAAACAATCTGTGACTGTGAATCACTCCTCTTATGTAACAAGTCTAGCTTTGTAAACCGAGACAGCAGTCCCTCAGCCACACAGCCCTTTACACACTGAGCATAGTGCAAATGATAGTTGTGCTTCCTATTTTGCTTTTTGTTTTTATTCCATTTTGTCTTTCTAATGTTCTAAAATTTACCATTTTTCTTAATTAGTAGAGTCTTTGGTCAGATGCAAACAAAAACATCACCAAATATTTAGAAAGTGCATTAAAACTAACAAAAGTATTTTATTTATTTGCTTTCAAACCAATCTATCACCATGCCCAAATTTCCTAGGGTTATTCAACAATTGAGACCTTTCCCTCATTTTAGTCTTTTTAGGCTTCACTCAGTGTTTGTTCTTTTAGTGTAAAACAAATTTTCCCATGGTTTCCTCTTTAAAATCCCATGCTAGTTTTCAGTGGTTTTAAATTTGTCCAACCAACTTTAAAATATATAACATTTTATTAATTCTTTGAGGGTCATATCAATAACCCCTAACTCCTTCTAAATCACGCCCACCCCCTCTCCTCCAACGTCATGTCTTTTCTTAAAAATGACCTGTTGGGTCCCTTTGAGCGCCCATATGCACCTGAGTGTGGGGCCATCCACTGAGGCATGATGGACCTATCGGGGGCCACACCTTGAAGAAAACTGGTTCTCCCTCCCCGCAGAAGTCATCAGCTGTCTCTAGATCCTCAGACATGGAGGCTTGTTACGTCCCTGCCCCTTTCTTTATTTAGCCATGTTTTAATTGGTGACTTACTATCATGAGCACTGGCTTTTTTTTCTTCTTGAGACAGGGTGCCCAGTCTGGCCTGGAGTTTGAGTCTCTTGCTTCAGACTCCAGAGTGCTTGGATTATTGGTTTGCACCTTCATACCTAACTATTTTATCTCCCTGTCTCTTTTTCTTCTTTTTGGGTTGTTTGAGATAAAGTTCCACACTGTAGCCTGGGCTGGCCTGGAACTCACGACATAACTCACTCTGGCCTTGAACTCTAGTCTTTGCCTCCAAATTCTGGGATTACAAATGTGAGCCACCACATCCGGCACTTCACAGTTTTTAATATTAGAGCATTTTTTATCCAGTATTTTTACTGAATTTTCTCTGCTAACTCTTAATGCTTCAATGACCTCATTTTGTCTTATGGCTTTAAGATCACTTGTACATTGATATTGGTCTAGGTGCCAATAACTTTGATGATGTCATTAGTCTTGTGCAAGGCTTTCCCTGTACAGTTATGGCTTGCCAGTATCCATTCCTAGCATGGACCACATACTACTCACAGCATTAAGCTTCCTATTCCAAATCTTCAGGAACTTGGATGCCAAATAGGAAATCTAAATTTCACACACTGAAACTGAACTCCTGACCACAACTTGCTCCTTTAGCAGTGCATTGGTGGCGCTTCAACAAGAAATTGGAACCACTGTGTGTGCTATGGAATGACATATTTATTTATAGGAATCAGGCTCCACACAATCATGGGAGAAGCAAGGGAACTGAGCGGTGGGAGAAGACAGTTGAAGGATAAGAGCGAAGAAGCCTTTATCCATCAGGGATCACTAAGGGAAGTTACTAGAATCTATGAAGGGCTGTTGCTTCTTTCTCAGAGAGCGAACCTGATTCCATGGCAGGCTAGCAGTGCAAAGCAAAAGAAAAGTGGGGCATGAAGCAGAAGGCATCAAGAATCATTAGGAATGTACAAGGTTTAACTGGAACCATTGAGGACAAGTCTGTCTGGTCTCACTGCCTTGAACTTTGATGATAGAGGTAACCTATAGAAAGAAGAGTTTAACTCCCTTCTCGAGCTGTTCAGAAACCTGGCCCTGGATTCAGGAAAGTTGAGGAAAGAGATCCAGTGGGAGCTGAGGTTCCAACTATTGCTTACCCCTGCCCCGTATCACCACTGGAGACTGTTAGGAGCTGCAGTGGTATCTGACACCTGACCCAAACCTTCAAGATGTCATGGCTGATGCTCCAATTCTGCTTTCCAGATCTCATCAGTGTTTATTTGATCACCCCTAGCCTAGAACTGTAGCAAGCTCTGAGGCTATCTATCAGTCTACATCAGTGGGCAGATCTAGAGGAAAGGAAATAAGGAAATGGCCCTATGTAAGGTGACATGGTATACGATTCTCCAGGGAGCACCTCCATCTCAGGAAATGGCAATTTCATCATGCTAGGAGTCGGGGATCTTATTTAGTAAAGTGTCTGTTCAGGAATTGTGTTCATTTATGTCTGGATTGTTTGTTCATTTTCTTATTGTTAAACTTTAATAGTTGGTTGTGAATTGAGCGTAGCAGTCCTTTGTCAGTGAAGGCTTGATTTTCCGTGTTCATTTTGTCAAACTCTCCGAATGTTTGGTATTCTAAACATTAATCAAAAATCAATTTGTTCATTTATAGGTACTCTTCTAGCTATGGAGGTAACCAAATTAGTCAAAAAGAATTTCAATTTTTACAGGGGACCAATGATAAATCAGCTAATATCAAAGTATTTTCTTTATATAGCTTTAAACAAAAAGAGTACTCTGCAAAAAATAAGCAAATTGGGCTGGAGAGATGGCTCAGAGGTTAAGAACACTGACTGCTCTTCCAGAGGTCCTGAGTTCAATTCCCAGCAACCACATGATGGCTCACAACCATCTGTAATGAGATCTGGCGCCCTCTTCTGGTGTGTGGGCATACATGGAAGCAGAATATTGTACATATAATAAATCTTTAAAAAAATAAGCAAATTCATATCATTTACAGATGACCATACTGGCTGAGACCTGATTTTGCCCAGGGTTGTTTGCTTAAGGCAGTGGAGCTCCCATTCCCCACTAATGGTGTTATTTAGGTTTGGTCCCCTGGTTTCCGCTAAGATCCTTTTGTTTGATGGGAAATACTAGGTCATAAAATAGAACATGTATAAGAAAATGATATTTTCTTGTCTCACAAGAAAAATACATATCTCTATGAACTCTAGGTGGAAGAAGATATTTGGCTACTCTATAAATCATTTTAGTTATTTTTTTTGTTCCCGAAAAGGAAGATGGACCCAAAGAAACTCAGTTTCACAAAACGTGTTCACCCTTCTCTTGATTGGAGGTGTGCATTTCCTGTTTTGGGGCTTTCCACAGAGGATTAAAAGTTGAGCTCATGGCCTGAGTTGGTTTTTCCTGTCAAAAAACAAAAGAAGAAAAAAAGAAAAGAATCAGTCAAGACATAGTTTAGGAGTTTCACCTGTGAATCCCATATGAAAGCGCTTTTGAATTTGTGAGGTCTTGAATGTTCACTATTAATGCCAGCAATTTCTGACAGGTCACCTGTAAGACTCCCATCTGTAATCATGGGGATAGGCTTAGAGTGGAGGCTCTCTCCATGACAGAAGGGCCAAATGAAGCTGTCAGGGTGGGCTTTGGGTGGGATTTATTCCTCAAGCAAGCTTTTTTTATATCAGTGAAGACAGATGACTATGGCTCATTAATTTTCTCAAGATTTCTTGAAAAATTTGAAACTGTGTTTCCTGGTGGTTGCTAAGGGGCAAAAGAATGTTCATTTGTCTTGTAAATGTTTTTTGCTTGAAGGAAATACAAGGAAAGGATGGCGCAGGAGAGATGCTCAGTGGTTAAGAGTTCTTGCTGCTCTTCCAGAGGACCCAGGCTTGATTCCCAGCACTCGTGTCAGGCAGATGTAGTCTGTAACTATATCTCCAAGAGGTCCTATTCCTGTCCTGGACTCCATGGGTGGCCACACCCACATTACATATGGTAGACACAGGCAAAGACAGACATAGACAGAAGACACACATACACAAATAGAAATAAATCTTTAAATCTAAAAAAGAAAGGAAAATATAAGGGAATTATTCTGTTTTGCCCATAGTCCTAGTAGAGAGACCCAGATGAGAAAAATAAGTGGGAATGGGTAGCTAGACAAAGTTTTGAGGCTTTTGGGAAAGTGGGGGAGGCAAGGGCTGTCTCCAGGAGGACCAGAGAGTTTGGAGGTTAACATGGGAGAAATAGAATTGCCTAGTTACACAGACGCGTACATATTCAAGCCTCAGAAGCTTTGTCAGACTTGTAGCGATTATCTTGAGGGATGCTCCAGGAATGCTCTTGTGTTTGTATCATCTGGGCATACAAATACTGCACGTTCATAGCGTGCTTTGTACTTCCCAACATCTGTTCACCCTGCCTTAAAACCAAAGAGCATGACCAGGAGGAGTCTTGCCATTCCTATGCCCAAGAAGAAGGCCAGCAGCAGGAGTCCTACCTCAGACTTAGTACCTCAGCTAGCACAACTCTCTTAGCTCAATTGTCATGCTTACTTGCCACATCAACAACATATTCAGCTTTGCAGACAGAGCCCGAGGACACCCCTGGGACCTCATCTGTTGGACAGACCTCCAGGGCTCTTCATGTTTTAACAGGTCTCAGAGCAATGTGAGCACCCCAGGGGGGAATGACTGGAATTCCAAAAACGTGCAAAAGACACACGCACAGGCCAGCCTGAGTACAGGCCTTAGGCAACAGCTTCTTGCCTGATTCCAGGGGCCTTGCTCCAAAGGCACATCTTCTCCAGTTTGATATATCAGAGGTCAGAATCGAAGTTTCAAACTAGGGGCTCTGTGAACAAATTCCAGAAGGTCTTTCCTGAGATCTTGGGGTTTTAATTGCTCATTTTAAGGGTGCACAGTGTGGGAGGTGAAAAACCACAGGTTATCTGAGGAGAGGAAGCAAGAGAACTCCACCGAGCGACACAAAACACATCCTGTGGAAGCAGAAAGACACATTTCACCTACCTTACTATTTTCTCATTAAATGGAAGCAAAAAAAACCCACCATCCAGGAAAAGACCATGTGCCATGTGGAAGGTGGGATGCTGGGACAAAATGAGTCAGTTGGCCAGACCCACAGTCTATGGCAAAATGGCGCTCCTGGAAAGTCACCAATTGACCAGGAAGCCGCGTCACTACATCTTCTTTCCCCAAGCCTGAAGACCAGATGCCATTTTCCAGCCATTTCCTTTTGCAGTTTCTCTGATGGTGTGACACTCCAAGGATCTGTGGATTAGTAAAGAATGAAGAAGTCAAGTGATAGGTTAGCCCATCAATGAAGAAGTCAAGTGATAGGTTAGCCCATCCAGAAAGGGCCAATCAGGTTCGTGCAGGTCCCCATTGCTGCTGTTCAGTCTGCCCAGTGGCCCAATAACCAGATGAGTTTCCTTTGGAAATTTAGAATCTTAATATCAGGGCTGGTAAAAAAAATGTTCTGGAATTCATTTTAGAAAGAACAGGGTTTTTTTGGGGGGGGAATAATCTCTTCAGTGAGCATACCCACCCCTGCCTATCTGTATTACTACTCATTCATGTTTATGAGTCCTTATGAGCCTGGAGAGTGACGTCACTGTTGTCAGTGAGGGGGAGGTTTGACTTTTCTTTCATTAATAAGAATTTTCTCCTGAGTCACAGCAGATGATTTACTGTCTGTCAGTAAGGACCTTAAACTCATAATAGTGGGTCCTCCATAAATAGAAGCTATACGTCACATAAGATGGGTACGGCCTCCTAGGGCATAGAGAAGCAAACACTTGCAGAAAGACTAATCAAAATTGTTCCGCTTGATGGTGCTTGGCGTCATCCTCTGAAGCAGAGGCTATTCACTGCAGTCACCTGGGAAGAGTTGAAAAACAGCAGCTTGTATTCTTCAGAAATTCTGCTTCAAAACCTGTGCTGGTGACTGCATAATGGTCACTCTCAAAACCTTTATAAGTGATTCTATCTAATATACTAATACAATTGAAAATCAACCTTAGGTATCAGCCATACCATGAACATGCTGTTTTGTCTGATCTTGGAAGCTAAGCAGGTTTAGCCCTGGTTTAGTAGTTGGATGAGAGAAAGAACCTTAATAGTTTGATTACTTTTCCTATTTCTATTCACCTCTTCTAGACCAAGCTAGTCCAGTTTCTCTATATTACAAATAAAAGTACATTTATTTATTCAGTGTGTGTGTGTGTGTGTGTGTGTGTGTGTGTGTGTGTGTGCTGGGTCCCTGTGTGCCACTATTTGTTTGTAGAGGTCAGAGGTTCTCTCTTTCCAGTATGCGGGTCCCAGGGATTGAACTCAGGTCATCATGTGGCAAGTGCCTATACCTGCTGAGCTATCTCACCAGTGTAAATGATTTTCTTAGGTGCCCAAACTAGATCTAATGACAGGGTGTGGCAGCAAAACTTGTAATCCTAGCACTTGAGAAAATTGAGACCAGAATATGAAGAGTTTAAGGCTATCCTGGGCCACGCTGCAGCAAGACATCAAAAAACAAACAAACAAACAAACAAAAAACAAAAAACCCCACAAAACACAAAAACAAAAACAAAACAAACAAACAAACAAAATCAAACAAACCAAAAGCGGTTGGAATACAGTGGATAAAAGTGCTTGCCATGCAAGCACGAGGACCTGAATTTGAATCTCCAGAACCCATAGAGAAGCAAGACACGCTAACATAAACATCTGTGACCCATGGCTCCTAAAGGGTGATGGGAGTCAGAGAAAGGGTTCCCAGAAGCGTGAGGGACAGTTAGCCTGGCATATGTAACCGAAAATCAACTGACATCCTATCTCAAGCAAGGTGGTAAGCAGACAGTGACACCCTTGGGCTGTTCTCTGACCTCCGCATGAATGCTGTGGCATACATGGGTCCACATATTCTCTCTCCCCCCACATGTTCTCCCTCTCCCCCACATACCCCCTCCCCCGACGTCTTAGAACTTATTCTCTCTCTTCCATTTTTTTTTTTTTAAAGGAATCATTTCTTTTAATTGAATACCACATCCCCTTCTGGATGCTTCTCAGGCAACCGTTTGGTCCCCACTTCTCAAGAATGTTACAACTGACTGTATTGAGTGAGCAGGAGCCCCAAATCAGACCTTTGAAACTGTAAAACAAACAGCACCTCCCCCCAAACCATCCTCTCCTTTCACTTAGCAAGGGTCTGGAAGTTAAAGGATCCAAATTCTACTTTGCAACTGTAGACACCCAAGAACCTGGATGCACTGTAAACACTAAAAGCTAGCATATCAGAGATGAAGTAAGGCAGCCCCTACACACTCCAAGGTGAGGCTCTGATTGCTCCTCCCACAGGAATGGCCTTGCACCAGCATTCTTAAAGGAAGGCGTCTTGGCCTCTACTTAATTTCCCAAAGACTTATAAAATCTACCAAAAGGAACACAATGAATCAGCATAAGTCAGCTTACTCACGAGAGACTTTCTTGAGGAACAACTTTTGACTGTTGAGAATGTCACATTATTTCAAGGCAGTAAAGTCCAGGGCACTCGAGAGGACAGTTGAGCAGTGGCCTAGTGCGGGCGGTAGGTCTATGTAGGGTGCAGGCACACACCACACACACACCTCTTTTCTTCAGGGTATATGGCAAGCCGCCAAGACCCCTGATCATCAAGGTAAGTTATTTTCTATAGGACAGAGCGTAGAACAGCAGAGGGAAAGATGCTTTCGTGGAGGGCTATTGGAAGGCAGTTATTGTGCAGAAAGTCCTGAGGCTAAGCAAAAGGGCAGCGGCAGCTGGGGACAGGGACTTTTAGACACTTGGCTCCTGCTTGGTGGCAGCAGAGGCCTCAGTGTCAACTGCTTCCTCCACCGATTTTGCTGACTCCTCTTCCTCCTCTTCTTCATCCAGCTCGTAGTAGTCAAGCTCGTAGTAAACATCCCTATCCTCCTCTTCCTCATCCTCCCCATAGTAGTCAATCTCATAGTAGATGTTCTCTTCTTCCTCCTCCTCATAGTAGAAGCCGCCCTCTTCGTAATAGTCGTTTTCCCACTCTTCAGCCCACTCTTCAGCCCCTTCATAGTAGACATCGTCTTCCTCGCCCTCCGCATAGTAGCTATCGTAGTAGTCCTCCTCCTCCTCCTCCTCACTCTCCTCCTCCTCCTCCTCACTCTCCTCCTCGTCCTCCTCGCCCTCCTCGCCATCTTCGTCCTCCTCGCCCTCCTTGTCCTCCTTGCCCTCCTCGTCGAAGTCGCTCTTGTCCTCGTCCTTGTCCTCACCCTCGGCCTCATTCTCCTCTTGGGGATAGACGTCTGGATAGTTCTGCACGCACTCCTGCAGGGCTTGGAACTGCTCGACGCAGTCTGACCCCTTGATTTCGTCCGTGCTGTAATGGAAGCAGGCGAAGGCAGATTTGAAGGCCTCTCCACAGGGACCGCTGGCCATCCCCTCAAGGCACGGGCAATTCCAGTTAATTTCTCCACTTGGCAGCGTCAACCCGTACTCCTCATAGGGATCATTGGGGTCGTCGACCACCAGCTCTGCATTGCTGGGACTTTCGTGGTCTTCTCTGGTCACAAATATGATTTGATCCTTCCCTTCCTGCCGGCAGTAGGCCATGGTAGCTCTGGGTGCTGGTGCTCAGGGCTGCTGGGCTGCTACTGACTAGCAGCTTGAAGCTCGCAGCTCCCGATGTTGGAGGGAGTGGCTATCTCTGTTACACCTTCAGGCTGTGACCTCCTCCCTCTCTGCTCCTCCGGCCTGGAGGCCTGGAGGGCGGTTCTGAGGCTCAGAGGGACCCGCCCCCTCCAGGCCGGCCCCGCTGGCCCTCAGTATTTTTTCAAAGGAAAACATAATCTCCAGCGGTTTTGATGAGTACTCCTCAAAGGTCCATATGTAAAAGTTGGGTCCCCAGCGTAGTGCTATTTATTGGACAGTCCCTGTGAATCTTTAAGCATTATTGTAGAAACCGCTGGAAGACTCTTAGGTTATTGAGGGCATTTCCTGGAAGGGAATAATGAGTCTGAACTCATTCAGGCCCTTTGCATCCTAGCTCATGGTGTGACCACTCTTTCTCTGGTTATGTGCGTGTGTCACCTGAATCTCCAGAATCATGAGCTGAAATAGAACTCTCTTTACTCCCTAAGTACCCTGGATCAGGCATTTGGTTGCAAAGCTGTCTTACACCATTCTTCTTTACCTCTGCGTCAGCTAATTGCAAACCTGGCTGAGCAGAAGCTTGTTAAAATGAACGTTCCTGGGTTCCGCACCTGAACATGATTGTTGGGCAGGCCAGTGGAGGTACTTGGAAGCTGAATTTTAAAGTAGTCCACTGATCAATAGGAACAGGACAATTTCCTAATTTGGAAATAAAGAGGTTGTGGATCTAAGTTAGAGGAAGTAGGAGTTCTTCAATGTCAGGACAAAGGAAAATGGGTATTTCCTTTCAGTTATTTTTCTTCTGAGGGACAGACAATAAAAAATGATGCCAATCTTGTTTTATCAAAAGGTGGGCCTTAACTGCGATCCTGTATTTCTTATTTTGTTTGATTATTGTTGTTTTAAAATTAAACAGGTGGTCCTTAATGTCCCCCCCCCAAAAAAAACGTGGACATGTCTTTTATTTTTTAATTTTGCAAATAGAATTCAAACAGTTAGAGCTTCCAGAATGGAAAATGACTTGGCGAGCACTGTGACCCAGAACCATGACATACAGTTCACAGTCATTGTGCTGTCCAGCCTAAGTCTGGAGTTGGGGGGGGAGGAGGGAGACTTACGTGACTCAGCTGAAGTGCGGCTCAACCATCACTTGCCTCAAAAGCCCTGACTGAGCCCGTGACTCACACAGGCATGCTTTTCAACTCCACGCTCTGAGACATCTTGGCTCAGGGATGGTGTTGAAAAGGTTCGGAAGGAAACCCAAACCTCAGGCCTGACATCTTGCTTTTGCACCTGCTGGCGGTACAGCTATGATAAAGTGACTGCGAGTCTCACTCCACAGCTGTACAGAGGGGACAGCGAAATTCATCTTACCTAGCTAAGGAGAGTGGGCTCCCCCCATTTCACAAACAATTATTACCAAGATTGGCCCTTGAGCCGGCTGACAGCCACAGGGGTGGGTGGTCCCTGAAGTGGTTGCATCCTGAAACACCACCAAGGGTGGCTGTGGTGAAGTCAGGAGCCTTCTGTAGCACAAGACTTGGGTTTTCTTCCACAGTAGTGATAATGGAAGTGCTTAGGCGGCTGATCAGATTAGAAACCCAGAAATATTCATGCGATGAGCGAAACTGAAGCAACCAGTCAATCAACCTTCCTTCCTCCCTTCCTCCCTCCTTCCCTCCCTCCCTTTCGCTCTCCCTCTCTTCTTTCCTTTCTTTTCTCCCCACCCCCTTTTAAAACTAGCATGGTAACAGAAGCCTGCAATATCAGAATTAGGAGACAGAGACAGGAGGACTAGGCGTTCAAGGCCAGCTTCGGTTATGTAGCAAGTTCACAGGTATCCTGGGTATGAGAGACCCCGTATCAAACAACAAGATCAAACGGGCTAGTCAGGTGACTCCGTGGGTAAAGTCACTAGCTGCAGAAGCCTGGTATCTAGTACCCTCCTCTGCTATGCTCTGCCTTCTTCTCTCAAGCTTTCGCTAAGCCCGGAGCTCACTGTTCTTTGGCTAGGCTGGTGGCCAGCACACTCCAGAGAGCCTCCTGTCTCCCTCCCGCCCCGAGCACAGATTCACAAGGTCACATCTGATGTTTTGTGGGGGTGGGGATAATCTGAAGTCCGGTCCTTATCCTCGAACAGCAAGTACTCTTACCCACTGAGCCATCTCCTCAGTCCGGCTTGCTTTCCTTTTTAGAGGAAAGATTACAGATAATGTCTTCATAAAAAATTATTTTTGAGTTAGCATAAAAAGTTTCACTGTGGGATTTTCATGCATACTTTTTGTTGATCTTTATAACCACTTTAAATATTTTTATTGATTGTGTGACGATTTCATACATGTACAAGCCTAACTTTTGACAAAAACAGTAATTGGAAATGAATGTTTCCTTTTCATCAGTGATGGGAAAATTGGATGCGCATATATAGAAGAATAAAGTTAGACATATATCTCTTACTTTGCACAAAAAGAGAAATTCAAAATGGATAAAAGATCCCAGTATAAAACCCTAAACACTGGAACTTCCCAATGAAAACATAGCAAAAACAGTTCAAGATACAAGCATGGGCAAAAACTTTCTGGAAAGAACCCCAATTGTACAGGAAATAAGTTCAGGTGACAAATGGGATTGGATGAAATTAGAGAGCCACTATAATTTATTGTGCTCCTTGATTGATTCTAAGCTGTGTGTGCCTGTAATTCCAGGGCCGAGGAGACAGAGGTAGGAGAATCCCTGGTACTTGCTGTCTAGCTAATCAGTGAGGTCCGGCTTCAATTAAAGACTCTCAGAAAATAAGGTGATGGCTTTGTTCATGTGTTCTTTTGCACAACACCAATATTATTCTTTTCCTGACACAACTAACCAACAACCCAAGGAGAAACAGTTAAGGATCAGGGAAATACCCTGTTGCTGATGGAGATCTCCCCTAGAGTTAGTATTTACCAATAGTTCTTGTCTGCCTGCTTATTCTTGGCTGTGATGGTTGCTGTATGATTATTTCCCACAGTTCCTCTTTTCTGATCTTCCACATTGACTGCTTGTTAGCCCTTGGCATTAAGCTGAAAGCAAGCCTTCTTCTCTCAGTTTATCTGCTTATCTGGCCAATCAGAATGGACATATGTTTCTATATTTCTGTGGCTTTATAACTTAGTACTGAGCTTCATAAGTTTGCTTTGGTGCTATGATTTGCCTCCTCTGTCCTTTGAAGTATGTCACCATCTTTTTTTTTCCTGTCACTTTCTTCCTTCCTGGCACATCAAAAATATTCTTTGCTCCCCTTATATCTACCATGATCTGTCCCAGAAAGCAGCAGGATCAAACAAACCTCTAATAAACCTCTGACATCCACAGTTGGTTGCATCCAAGACCAGCCTTCTAGCAGTCTTGTGTGTGTATGTGTGTGCGGGCATATACGTGGTCACGTGTGTGCGTGAGAGAGCAAGCATGCATGTATGTGGAGGCCATAGACTGGCATCTAGTGCCTTATTGATCACTTTTCAACCCCCTGTAGGCGATTACAATAAAGCAGTCCCACACTAGCTCAGAATGGAGTATAGTAAAGGGGTTCTTTATTTAGTACATGCGGCCACACCCAGAGTATGCCAGTATCTTAAAGACTATTGGCTGAAGGAGTTCCCATAGCACCCACCCCCCTCTTTTCTGAGACAGGTTTTCTCTGTGTATCCCTGACTGTCCTGGAACTCACTGCGTAGACTATGCTGGCCTCAGACTCACAGAGATCCACCTGCTTCTGCATTCTGAGTGCTGGTATTAAAGGCGTGTGGCATGTGCCACCACGCTTGACTAGTTCTTTATGTGTTTTAAATGTTAGCCACCTCTCTGAAGTATAGCTGGCCAAGACTTGCTACCATTTTGTAGGCTGTCTCTTCACTCCGGCAGCAGGTTTCCTCTACTGTGCAGAGACCCTTTAATTGTATATGATCCCATTTGTCAACTCTTGAAGTTCTTTCCTGTGCTGTTGGGCTCCTTCTGGGCTCCTTCTTGAAGTGTTTTCTGTAAGGTTCCCTCCAGCAGCTTCAGTTTTTATATTAAGATCTTTGTAGAATCATTTAAAAAGGACAATTTAAAAAAGGGTTTGGAGGAATAAGTATGGCTCACACTTGCAGGTGGGAGACTGGAGAAGGAAATACTACGTCCAGATTGAAGTCTGGAGATCTGCAGAGGCTGTCCCTACATCCGCAGCCCCATGCTGATCTGTGTGTGTCAGGAAGCCAGGGAAACACTGGGGTATTACACAGGCCTGGAAGGAGTTCTTCTTTCCTGTAGCCAGATTGGACAAGCATTTGGTAGAATATGTGGACCAGTGTGCCCTCAATAGTGACTGAAGGCTGCTCCTATTTGAGCTAGCCTCACAGAGTTGAAAAATTAGCCTTGAAGGACTCAAACTGTTTCCGCAGAACTTCAGTCTAGAGAAGCTTTAGTTACAAAATGCTAAAAAAAAGCCCTTTTTATTTAAGCAGAAGGACCCAGCGCTGAACAATGGCCCTAGTGTCTGGCATCCAATCGCTGACTATCACAGTTCTGTGGGACTATCTATTCTCAGGAAACGCGCTGAAGTGTTTAGGCCTCAAGGACTGTGGTCTGTGAGATTTGCAAAAATGGAGGGGTAGAGGATAAGTGGGTGTGGACTGATGTTAATACAGGGCTCTTTGTGCGGGTTTTTATTTTTATAACCCTTAGATCGAAATTATTAATATTCCAAGTTAATAGAAAAACATTTAATGCCTCTCATATTCCAGAAACATATAGGATTTGTTTTATTTAGATCATGTTATGGTGGTGCTCAATCTAGCTACGGGAAAAATATATTCCTTTTAATTCCCAACTGTTACACAGAATAGAAAATAGCATCTGAGAGTTGCAAAAAAAAGGAGAGAAATTTAGCAAATAGCTCTTCATAATCGTGACGGACATTTGGAAACCCTTTGATTAGGAGTCATTTCCTATGGTTTGCTTCAGTGAGAAATTTTCAGATGTATTTTCTTCTTATCTGGTGTTCCTATTTTT